CAAAATTGTGACGCAAGCCATGCATGTATATATGTTAACTGGCAATAAAGGAATATTTGATTTGATTTTATTTCATTTGAGTCTGGATCCTGGATCGTGAACGTGGTTAACTTTAGTAATCTTTGTCAGATTTTTATTAAATTTGGTCTAAAGGTGTAAGGCGAGATGAACTTGAATGAGTTTGCGAACCAGCATGATCGGACCATGGGAACGGGGTTTTACAGGGAGTTTTATGGGGTAAAAAAAAATAGTTTTTCTCATTTTTGACCCTCAAAACACAACATTTCCCAATTTCTCTCTAGAACTTCTTAAAGAGCTTAAAAATACAAATAATTTAGTGCATCAAAGTGTATATTGGTAACGGAGAAAGTTCAAAAATTGTAAATTTAAAATTCCCACGTACCGGTACTTACTTTCCGTGTCCGGAAAACAGACTTCGCTTTTCCAAAAATTAGCTACCGATATGGCTTTGTCATTCGCTTGTAAAAGATCATCTAATGTGCAAGACTGGTCTAGGCGTGGACAGATCAGCAGATGGCCAGGATCCTAAACAGCACTACACACACACACAAGATGTTTTCTTCGTCTGATAAGAGACGATTCCCACGTTATTCTTGTAGTTTGCTTGTTTGTGGATTTTTATTTATTTTTTACTAATCTATTCATATTTTACTAAAAAAACACACTTTATTGCCCTCCCAGAACCAGCAAACCTAGGTACTTGTTCAACTTAATATTATTTAAATTGATTAATTTGAAAATCAAATCAGGTAAATGGAAATTCGCTTGGTTCGCAGTTTTCTGGTTTGCTGCGGCGGGGGTATTTTTTTTTACTTAAAATCCAATTTCCTGAACTATATATGAGAATGGCTTGACGATTGTCTTATATGTTCTGAGTTTGGTGACGTGGGAAATTATTTTTGATCTCTATGTGTCAAGCTGAACATTTTTTGTGCTAAGTTTAATATATTTTGACTATAAATTCACTGGTGAGAATGACTCCCAAATATTTGGAAATTAGTGACTTTTTGAAATTTAAATTCTTCAATCTCAATATGGTTTCGGATTTGGTCCCTTAGTAGATCATAATTTTGCTCTCTTCCGCATGTTACAAACTTGGTTTTATTATCATTTGTGTGCAAAATCCCATTTTTCCTGTATGGTTATACGAATTTTTGTCACATTTGTAGGTTCTTCAATACTATGTGTATAATTAACTAATACTATGTCATCTGCAAATGCTAGAATGTTTATGTTTGTTCCTATCCTATTCCCTACCTCTGTCTTTCTGACTTCTTGTAGAGCTATTTCTACAGCTAAATTGGACAGTAATGGAGTGGAGATATTCCGTCCCCTGCCTCACCCCCTTTTTGACCTTAAGAGGGCGTTGGAGTGCGGCCATGTTGGATTTTTACCTCCATAAGAACAATGTTACACTTAAACCCAGATATCTCACTTATTTGCCAATATAATATTATGAACTATGTTTCAAATTAAAGGCATATTTGATACACGTCATTATTGTGGGAGACTTTTTAACAAAAGTAAAGGGATTTCTAGGAATATAGAATGTAAAACCCATATATTCATCAATTTATTTTAGCTTTGCTAGGACGTCATAGAAGAACCTATTCCGCAAACATGATCCGAGATGTTATTAAGATTAAAATAAAATATATTTCAAATCATTAAGTCAAACAGTAACAAAAAAATATGCTTTCAAGTGAAGGCATGTTCCGCACGTTTCAATGGGAAATTTCCACTGGTTTGCCTGCGCTCTCCTGGCATCGTTAGTGTCAGCGAAGATTTTTAATCTGACTCCAACGCCCTCTTAAACTCTCTCCATTTACTTCAACTTAGTATTTCGAGCCTTAAACACTCAATTTGGCAAAATTGATCAGGGTTTCGGTATCCCCATAACTGCTCCATGTTTATGGAGTTAAACGCCCTCGCTCAGCGGGACTCAGTCTTTCGCAGAGCCAGGAGAACTAGAGACGTGGGGCTAAGCACCCAATACGTCATCAGCTCAGAAACCAAGTTAAGCAACAATCGCAACTCTCGCCTTCTTCATTACTTCCATAGGCTGTTTTCATATAGAAATCAGGCTTCTTCTGTGCTATGGCGTACCAAATTTAAAGAAGTTTGGTCTTGGAAGAGAAGTCTAACATTGTATCTGTCCCGTTATATGCTATGAATGATTATTTTTTATCAGCATCTACCAATTCAAATTGTACAACTATCCAGAACCATTTATATGAATGAAATCTACAATGCAGTTCAATCAATGTCCTCACCAAATTTTATTTTCAACCCATTTTGCAATCTGATGTTTTGAAAGCTATTAGGCGAATTACGTCTGATGTCACTAGTTCTGCCAATACTACAATTTCTCTAATTAAACGGGTTTTGTTTGCTCTCCTCCCTAGAGTAACTTTCATTTTAAATTCTTCTCTAAGAACAAGGTATTCTCTCAGAAAATTGGTCTGCTTTAGTCCGTCCTTTGAATAAGATCTCATCCCTTAAAATTCCTCAAGATTATAGGCCAATTAGTATTGTATTCTTCCAGCTTTCTCTAAGGCACTCGAAAGAGTAGTCCATTCTCAAATATCTTATTTCCTCTCTGAAAACAGTATTTTAAACAAATTTCAATCAGGTTTCTGCCAATCTTCTAGCACTGAAAGTCAATGTACAATACTAACATCATTTGATTTTAGAAAGGCTTTCGATACAGTGAATCATGAAATTCTTCTAACAAAAATCAAAATAATAGGATTTTCTAATAGTTTATCCTCCTGGATGATATCATATCTTCATGGCCGAAAGCAGTCTGTGTGTCATGACAAAACTATGTCTGACTGGAGGCAGGTACCTTGTGGTGTTCCCTAGGGATCAATACTTGGCCCTTTACTTTTTAACTATCTACATAAACGACATCAGTTCAGTCTTTCAACACGCCAAGTTTCATTCTTACGCTGATGACTTAAAAATCTACGCTAATTTTAAAGTCAGTGTGGCGAATGAAACAGTTACATAGATGAATGACGACATCAGCAGAACTGTGGAGTAGGCAGCAAAGAATGAACTTCAACTAAACTCTGACAAAACAAAACCAATCATCATTGGCCACGCGCGACAACTCAACAGACTACAAAAACATTTTACACAACATTAAACATTACTGTGAACGGTAATGCAGGGCCGATTTACCGAATAGGCACGGTAGGCACGTGCCTAGGGCGCGAGGCAATTGGCTATTTTGGGGGGCGCCAAAAAATTGGAAAATAAAAAAATGGTGGCTGTATTTGCATGCGATTACGGTAAACTGGTAATCATCTCTCGCGGTCGTTTGGAGATCATCATTGTCTTTTGCAAATGAGGCAAAATTCTTATCTTTACCGTGGTTGAGTAGACATTATCATCGTCTTACGTGATTGCGGTAAAATTCTGATCATCCCTCGCAACTGTGTAGAGTAGACATCATTATTGTAACTCCCGCGATCCTGTAGACATCGTAGTAGTGTAGACATTGTAGTAGTCCCTCAGTCGTGTAGACATCGTAATCGTCTCCCGCTGTCGTGAAGACATCGTAATCGTCTCCAGCGGTCGTGAAGACATCGTAATCGTCTCCCGCGGTCGTGAAGACATCGTAATCGTCTCCCGCGGATGTAAAGACATCGTAATCGTCTCCCGCGGTCGAGAAGACATCAAAATCGTAGGGCGCTGACAAAGTCAAAAACGGGCCTGCGGTAATGTACTGTCGTACCGAGACAAAGTTGAAAATTGAATTTTAATTTTATTGTTGTTTTGAATTTTAAAATTCCAAATTGTCTTGCGAACAATTTTATATTTTTGAACGATAGAAGTGCAAGAAATACTCGCTTTGGCTCATCAACTCTCCAAATTCCTCACCACAAAACAACTGCTTTTAATAAATCTTTTACAGTAACAGCATGCCACCTTGGGAATTACCTACCCAACTCCATCAGATGCTTAAAATCCCATTCCAGACTGATAGCGGCCCTGAAAGCATACTTTCTTGATCGGATGACCGTGGCTTGGTGGGATGGCGTGCGTTAGGCCTACGTGTGGCAGAGAATGACTGCGTATGTTTAGGGATTACGATTCTATTACTTTAGCTTATAGTTATATTTGGTTTTGAATTTAAAAACATGTTTGTTCAGAAAATCATTGTTTAGTTTATTTAGATTTACGAGGTTAACTGTAACAAAGGACCATGTGGTCCTATAACTAATTGTTCGCCTCAATAAATAATTATTTTCATTCATTCATACTAGTGAAAGACTTCTCTAAACTGTACATTAAAAGAACAGATTTTTACATGAGGACTTAATATCAATGTTGTAATAGTCTTGTATTTCTAAGACCATGGTGTATAATAAACTTAGGCAAATTAACTTAATTCAATCTCTTATAGAATAAATTTATTTTATAAATTAGGAATATTTAAGTAGGTAGTAGTGAGTCAATCATTATTAAATTTCATACAGAGATGTGTTCACGCTACAGTATCAGCAGATAATCACCATTTGAAATAAAGCATGGAGTTTCGGTATCAAGAAGCCCAACAGTTTCATAAATTATTCATTAAATATTTTTCCTTATTTTAAACATTCTGAAAAAAAAACCGGTAAAATATCATTATATTTCCCCCCTTAGAACTTTGTATAACCTTAATGTGAAAAGTAACTTTAAACTAGAGGGAGATAGTATGAGGACATTACAGTGCTCACATAAGGTAACAAATTCGATCTTAAACACGATCTAACAAGCTTGAATTAAATTGTTATTATTCTTTTAAGTTAAAAACAACAAAAATGAATGTGTCAAAAATACACTTAGCTATGAGTTTAAATAACAATACACAAGTAATATAAACACATACTACCATTGCCAGGTTAAAAATAATTTAACATAATAAAAAGATGACGGTGGTAGGATTTACTTCATACAAATCACATCCTGGACAATAAAATTCTAAAAACGATCAAATCTCATATATTTGCTTACAGCTACTCGTCATCAATGAAACTTAAATTAAATAAAAACTATATTAAATTTATCGGTGGATGCAGTGATTTACAATCAAACTTCACTTATGCTAGATATAACTGTGAACCTTAACCGTTGTTATACATATAAAAAACATAAATTGCAACTAGGCGAAGACTACTTTATATACATTTTTTGTACACTTCTTTTACTTGTCCATTTGACCAATCAGCTAAGAAGAGCTGTGAGCGCATCAAAGAATTTCGCCCGATCTTCAACTTTCATTCTCATCACTGTAACAAAATATCATAAACATTTTTTTGTATACCAATACAAGTGAAAAAAAAACAACGAAGAGTGTTAATTTAAAACATATTAATATCAACGAGTTTTCTCCATAAAGTAAAGTCTCCCATGAGCTTCCCTCGCAGTCAAGCGAGCGAGTTGAAATCCTAACTATAGGTCGGCCGCTTAGAAAGCGTCCTCCTCGTAGCATTGGTGCGAGAGAGAGATACCGAGCTGTGTGAGTGAGACAGACTATGGCTCTTCCCCCACTCCAAAACAATTCAAGTGAATTATACTTTTTCTACGACTAATTCATACTATGTTTTACACTTAGTCTATCGTAACATATGCAACATTTTCAGGGATTTCAATTTTTTTGATTGTGACTTATTCAAGGTATTTAAATTCCACGTCAATGATTTCCCATTCAGTTTAAATATCGACGAGGCCGATTCTATTATCACGGCGGACTACCGGCACACTTCATCTGACCTTTGCACTGACTGACCTTGGCACTTTGTTTGGACTGTCCGCAGTCGAATTTACCAATCTCCACTCCACTCTTTACCCTTCAATCCACTCATCACTCTCAACTCTCTTCACTATCCAAATTACACACGAAACTTGCACACACACACTCTCTTTTTCTCTCTCTCTCTCCTGGCCACCACGAAAATCTATAAAGCGCTATCTTAACCAGCACTGTGTTCATGGAAATACATTTACTTATTTACTAATAATAACGACCTATTGTCTTTTTTAATTGCCATTCAAAAATTCAATAATTTTTCTTTCTTTCTATTTGACAGCAACTTAGCAGACACAAAGGTAGCACTGCCTATGTCTGCTAGGTCCTTTGTTTTATTGTTATATATTTTGGCTTTATTAAAACTTGTATGTATTCCTAGTGACAAAAGTCTCTGTCTAATATACAGCAATGCTTATCTCTGTGGTCTACTCATCTCTACTAATTTTGCTTATTTTCTATATTCAATGACAAAATCATAGACTAAATAAAATAACCTCATAGTTCTATAGAATATTTTTATATCCACAATAAATTGCCATAAGAGATCAGAAACCTCAAAATCCAACAACAATTTAAATCAAATCTGTCAAGCTGGTTTATAGGCTAAGTAAAGCTTTTTATTCTCTTGATGATTTTTTTACATATACATTTTTTATTTAATCTGTTATGAGCTTTGATTCAGTGATGCTTTGGTGAGTAGTTGTAGTTGATTTATTGTTAATTTTCAAAGTTTATATTCATTTGTTGCTGAATGTTATTTCTTTGTTATGTTTTATTCTGTTATATCTGTTAGTCTGACAAGTGCATTGTACTATTTTTTTTTTATATTGCATATTACTGTATTTCTTATGTTCTTTGACATTGTCTATAGCAATTTAATGTTGACAAATGACAATAAATGGATTCTGATTCTGATCCATCGTTATTTCAAACAAATTATATTGCACTAAAACAAACTGAACAACATTTTAAAGACTGCTCTAAAAAATAAAACAGAACATCTAGTATTTTACCATGTACATTAAAATAATCTGTCATCCTCTTGCAGAATAAATTATCGTATCAATGATTATATCATTACACATATAATAAATAAGTCAACCCTACGTATAACATTTCATTTTTATCCAAATGCAGAATATGTGTCACAAACCCTAAATGTTTACAGCTGTTACGTTAAGCAAATGTAATTATACCAAAAGCTAGTACCAAAAAAATGATGGCTGCTAGACTTAAAAAAAAATTAAAACTTAATTTCTAAAGAACTGAAACCCTAAATTAAAATTATGGATCCGACATTTCCTAGTTCTCAAAATGTTATTTCTTTCAACACTAAAATTATGAAAATCCATCAAGTGGTTGATTCAGAATCGTGAAATAAAAAAACCTTGTCACGTTTTAATATATAAAACCGTGCCGTTATTTATAAAACGACCTATGTATAAAACATATATAAAACAGCCTGTCACTAAATAGGCCAGATAAATCAAGTGATAATTACGAAATAAAGTGTTAGTACAAAATCCAATATGGCGGACTCAGTGAACTTGCACTAAACTCAAAAGTAGTATTGTAAGTATAGTCGGATTATTCAAATAGACCTTCATCTAACAATTTGTTCTGCAAAGTACAGTCGGAAACCCTCCAATAGACCTACTAAGTACCGTCTGTACCCTCCAATAGACCTTCTTAGTACAGTCTGTATCCTCTGACAGACCTTCTAAGTACAGTCTGTGTTCTAGTAATAGACATCAAGCCTATAATGGACGAGAACACCATGTTGCTTCGGAGCGGCAAGACCATAAAGGTTATAAAGGACTTTAATCCTGAAGAACTGGGGGATGTACCTGAAAATATTCTGGATGTAACAGAATGTGACGCACAGCGAAACGCTATTTTTTATAGTGTGTGCATTTCGCGAAGCCGGGCTGCATGACCAACTCGTAACCTGCAGAGATTGCATCAATGTCTCCCCCCACCTTCCCACCTATGTCGACCCCTCTCCTCCCTGGTTCTCTTGCTGAACGAACCTTCACACTGAAAAGACCCCGAAAAACTCCTGGCCTACTCTTTGATGTTATGGATAAGTGACTTTAGTTTAATATGTAAGAATTAAGTAGAATTAATGTTGGGCTAAGTCAGGAAACAAGCGGGGAGCCCTTCTGGCTCACCCGACCATTGAAATGTAGGAAATTACAACTTCTAAAACCTGAAAACTCAATCACATGTTCCCAGAATGTAACTTAATATTTATCTATCAAATTCATACCTATTTCACATTCAGTATTCAATTACATATTATTCCATTCACTCAGCAATACTAGTAAAAAATTATCCATGTTCAGTTCATAGTTGGAAGGATAGGTCTACAGTTAAATAGTTAGTTAAATTAGTGTAAATCAAAGCTGGCTAGGCAAGTGTTCTGATCTGGGTAAAAGGTCTCCGTCCCTTTGGTCCCCAGCAATCTTCCTAATTCAATTGGTAGCAGATTCAGTATGCTTATACTAAGTTTGGCCCAGACACAGGTATTCTTACCCTATTAGCATTACCCTGTTTATTCCCTCCTGATTCCCCGAATTCCCACCGATATCCTACACCGTATCATACCACTAACCTGACCCCCCCCCCCCCCCCGTTACACTTCATCATTAAACCCTATAATCCATCATCACCCAATCCCCACCAGCTACAAGAAGAATATAGCCAATTAAAGTTTTAAAATAGTAAATTGAAAAACAACATTTCTATGATGGAAAGTGAGATAGATGAATCACTAAATGAACTAAAACGTAGAGTTTTAAGCCTAGAGGCTGAAAACGAAAACCGAACCACTCAGCTTGGTCCCTACTCTGTTTTCTACATGTTCAAACTGAAATATATGTGACCATTTTGGACATGTAGAAAACTCTCTCTTCCTTGGTTGAAAACAGCATAATGTTTTGTGTATAGCGACTCTTTTCCATTAAGGTAAGCCTGCTATCCTAAAAAAAATCCTATAAACCCAGGCCCTCGTGCTATATGTTACTCCCTTTATTAGAGTATACTTCACCACAAAAAATCATAGAATAGCACTAATAACAATTAATTATGGTATTTGAATGTTATCTATTTTCCAACCTTTTTCTAGGATAATCTATCAGTCTTCTTATATTAGACCTACTTTATTAGAATTAGAATATGCATTAGAAAATGTTTGATCAAATATAATTTATTTTACTTCTTTAATAATTAATTTAAAATTGTGCTTAAAACTAAATAACAATAATAAGTTTGTACCGATTCGTCGTATAATACAACGAATTAATGTAGCAGACGCAAAAAATAGTCAGCTGATCAGCAAATAGAAAGACCATAGGCCATACCTCGGCGTTTTGACTTACCAGATCATCACCAGCAACACTATGAACGGATTAAACTGAATAATTATATCAAGGAATTAGCCGCACGTATGCATAATATACATATTATTGATATGGAAGGTTTCAGGAGAACTCATTTCACCCGGAAAGGTATTCATCTTAACTACGGGGGAAAAACTAAACTCTCACACATGATCCTGAATTTACTGAATTTACTTAACTGTTTACCCTCATCAAGATTCACTGGTGTTGCACCTCTTTCCTCAGATAAAACATTCTCCAGATCAAGTGCTAAGGACACAAGTAAGCAAATTATAGTCACCCCCGAAATACAGATAATTGAAGATGACATGCAAATGTTAATAAACAATTACAAGTCGGATGCTAGTGTCGGATTTGCACACTGTATTTCTGCCGACTTTGGCTGCGAGAAGCAGATGAGTCAGGGTGTGGCTGTACGTTTCAAAGAACAATTTGGGAAGCCAACATCTTTGGATCGCTGTAGTCGGTATCTTTCATATCAACATGCCGGTAACGGAGCATCTATATATAGCCTCATTACAAAGTCCCACTATTATGGGAAACCTGAAACTGTAATTTACGATGAGGCTTTTCTACACCTAACCAACCATTTCAAGAGTAAAAATTTGCGGACACTGATCTGTTCTCCACTTGGTTGTATACGTGACCGGATTTCGCCAGCCCATTTTGCAGCAAAAGTTGTAAAATTTCAACGGGATACTGGAGCCTTGGTCAAGATTGTTACTAAGGATGAAGATATATTGAAGGAGCTGAGGAATGGACTATCTCATATAACGTTCATTAGATTGCTATCACAGCTGATAAATTTAGAAGCTTATAAGCCTCCCTCTGGGCAATGTGACAAAGCGGTAGATGACACCTTGGGATCCTCCGTCCGTATACTAGAATCAGTCGCCAGTAGCAGATGTTCCAGCCTCACACTGGAAGAGAAGTCATCTGCGTGTTCCGCCTCATCTTCATCTGCAGATTCATCATTAGTGAAGTGTAGTGAGGGGGGTAATAAGAGCTCTGGGGTCGGTGGTGAAGTGGAAAGTGATGCCAGCACTCAAGATGAAACCGTCATGTGTAGTAATAATTC